CATGCCTCCTTTGAAGAGACAATCGTAGACGGTATAGTCGTTGTCGAACCAATACTCCATCGCGGCGTCGAGGACATCGGCGACCGTATCGTTTCCCACGAACTTGTAGGGTGCTTTCTGAGTGAGCTTAGCAGTGTGCGGTAGCACATCTGTGTAAGCTGCAGCAAGTGGGACTAAGAGGGATGGGGAGTAGGGAAGTTATAATTAGCCTTGTGTGCATTTTTGGCGACTTCTCCAGCAAACACCAGCAAATCACCCTGCCAAGGGAAAGCCAAGCGAAATACAGCACTTACGGACGTGCAACCAGTGATAATCCGCTGGCCAGTTTGCTCTCTGCGCTGGACATCCGGCTGCATAATTTACATCAGGCCATTGACCAGCTGACGTGATCGTGTTAGTCCTGATGGGGGTGGGGTAGAGAAAATAGCGTGGAAAATGTATGAACACTACGCGAGTTTGCCAGTGGACACCAACAAAGGACGACGTACCAGTCGCTCAGTATAGAATCGTCTTTGCCTATTGTAATTGTTGCTACAGTGAGTGGGAGTCTCTGCTGGTAAAGAGTCGCCAAGTCCCCTGCATTGTCAGCGCCAACCGACGTGGAAAGAACGGCCAGGAGAATTGCGCCAAAATGCAAATTCAACGGCATCTTGACGAAAGGAGGGCAAATGAATGACGAAAAAAGGAGTGTGTGCTGGAACGAAAGGGATCGTTCGAGTATGAGAAGCCAGAGGGAATAGCCAAAGCCGTTGGAAGCTTCGTATCAAGACTTTGGTGGCAGTAAAAATACTGAACCGTGTCACGGCATAAAGCTATCCCTTGCAAAGGGTCTGCTTAGATTGCTTAGAACGCCGAAGAGGCCCCGTCATGATCGCTCAGGGTGTATCGCTCTTTAATTTCGCCGTACCATTACGTAAGCCATTTGTGGCTTCCCCGGCCTTCGCACCGACTCGCGCCCACTTTGCCTTCTTTGAAAATACAATTGAGAACTTGAGTAGTACATATAACATAGATATACTTTGATCTTCCTTGTCGTTTGCTGATGACGTCTCGGCATTCCCGAACTGACAACTCTTCGTCCAATTGAGTACTTGAATGAGTTGGGATTCTGTCTGGAACGTGTTCTGGGCTTCTGAATAAAAGCTGTCTACAATATCTATCGAGAGTATAACGAGAGAATGTGGCTGAAGAGATAAGGTCGAGTATGTACGACAACAAGATACAGCGCTACGAGCAGAGTAAACACATAATAAAGGACTGGTGTGGCGATAAAGATTAACTTAGTAATGAGCAGAGAGATTACAGACATGCGAACGAATCTCAATTTGACGATATATCAACACACCGAAGCTGACACGGTCTTACCCAAGTCAGCACCTTGCGGGAAGTTGACCGTCACCTTCTTCCCCGTCTTCAACGCCGAGCACTTCGTTTTGGCCAACCCTACGGTCTTAATCGTCAAGGTGACGCTCTTCAGCGTCTGAGTCGGATCCGATAACGCAACGGTCCAATTGTTTAAATCCAAGATCACAGTCGCAGCCTGGCTGCTCAGCACAGTGACCGACCCCGTGCTGAGTCCCGCGGTAACCGTGGTCGAAGCCTTCCAGAATACGGCCATGAACACCGATTGAGCTTTATCCATTGCAGCTGATACGTTCGTCCCATAGACAGTCGTGACGGCGTTCTGCTTGACCTTGTCGGAGAAGATCTTGGCCGACGCTGTATCGGGGTAGACGGTGTATGAAATGGGGGTAGAGAGCTTGCTCGGATTGTGCCCCAACCAGGCTTGAAAGACGTTTACGGTCGAGGCCCCGGCCCAGGAGGTTCCGATCGTCGCCCAATTCCCTGAGCGATCGCCTGTGGCGACGTGCACCGTCGACGCATTAGCGCCGTCAAAGGTGTACCCGATGGAGTCGTGCCAGAGCGACTTGGCTGTGGAAGACGAGTAGGTTGACGCGTCCTGACCGTCCAGGTAGACAGCTCCATTCGTCCTCTTCTGGTCCAAGACGTGGTAAACGTCCGCAGCGGAGGTCTTCTGGATGTTTGACACGATGACGTGCTGCACATCGTTAGGTAGGAAGAACCAAGCTTTTCGGTACGCTAGAGAGCCGGTGTAAGGGTTTTTGTAGTCCATAGCCGCAACACCGATGTTGCCGTTCGAAGCTCCTCCGACGAAAGTCTTCACGCCGCCCCATCTTGTCCTCTCGCAAGAGAGAGGAGTAGCGCCGAAGTCGGTGGTAATACCAGGGATCATGTTCCAATCCCAGGCGGCTGCAATGTCTTCGTATTCGTTCCCAGAGCCGTAGTTGAAGACGGCGCCTTGACCGAGGTGGAAGCCCTTGAGGTTCTCTGACGAGGGGACAAGCTTAGCATGTTACTAGAAGGGTAGCGAGACAAAGATCGGGCATACGGGAGTTGAGGCATTCGGTATTGAGAGATCGAGAGGACAACATCTTCAACGTGGTAACGTAGTTCTTGCCGCGTTGGACCTGCAACGTCACGGTGCCTATTAGCCCACCCTTACTCCAGCGCACGAGTCCTGGTAGCGGCTCCTCACCATGTAATCGTTGCTGTAGAACATCCTATTTCCAACCAAGTTTCCCGTATTTGAAGTCCCGTCAGACAATACTGCGGCGGAGACCTTGGTCATGGGTGAATCTGCCCACTGCTGACCGAGATCCTGCACTTTCTTGAAGTCCAGACCCAAACCTGAGGTTGCTCTGTAGTCGCCCAGGATCAGCAAGGGACCGGGAGAGTGAGATGCAAGAACGTTGGGTACGAACTGTGAGTCGCTAACGGCAAAGCTGATGAACCTCCCCAAAACGCTCTACAGAGTCCGAGTCGCCATTAGTAACCAGTGCTGTGATAAGAAGCAAATGGCTGCTCTTACGAAGTCCCAGTGCCTTGTTCCCGTCTTTGTATTTGTGTAAATCATCCACGCCGAGGCGTCGATGAGCTTCGAGAACGCTGATCTCGCGGCTTGACTTGCGGCCCACTGGGTACCAATGGCAGAGAGCTCGAGGCTCTGGGCTAGGCCGGCGCTATAGATGATGTGCGAGTGCTAAGTCTTTTGAAAGCAAAGGAGAGATCCGGGTGAGGATGTCTTACAAATCTTTTCCGTATCCACCTACAAAGGATAGGCGTATATACCAATGTTAATAATTGCCGTCTTCAGTGCAGTAGGGGACTTCGTACCATTATACAGGACGCCCGAATGCTGTCCGAATGATCCATCCGGCCTGATCCCATCAGCCCTCACAGCAGTCTTCACAACGATCTCATTGTGAGCTTTCGTGAACCCTTGATTGATGTAACTGTATCCGGTCGAGTTACCAGCCAAAGCCAATACTATCCCAGCGTTGACCAGGTTAGATGTGACGTCTAACATATTGGCACCTGTGATGTCCACGACGCCGATCGTGTTTTGCGCAAGCACGGACGCCCCGCGTTCAGCGATGCGAACAGCGGCTCGGAGTTGGGAGTCTTTGATTGTCTTGGTCAAGAGGAGAGCAGCTTGAATAGCATTGCGCGGCGTGAGGATGACATTGTGGTACCTGAAGGAGATGGGACCCCGAACACAGCGAGTGAGCGCTTATAGTAAGCCACCCCCATCCAAAGGGGTTGAGTCGGGAATGCCACGAAAGCCACACGCACCAATTTGAATTCCACAACCCTGGAGTGCCACATATACATTTCCCGCTGGAGAGTCCCCCTTTGAGGAGGCAGTCGTCGACGGTGAAGTCGTTGTCGAACCAGTACTCCATTGCAGCGTCGAGAACTCCTGCAACCGTGCCATTTGACACAAAGTTGTAAGGATCTGTTTCGGTAAGTCTAGATGTGTGCGGTAAGACGTCGGTATAAGCAGCAGCGAGTGTGACTATAGAGATAGTCCGAATGTTAACGTGGCTCAAAATAGAAGCCTACACTTCGTCAAAGACCGTGGCGGAACAGAATACTCACGGACGCGGGACCAATGAACCTCAGCTGGCCAGTTCGCTCTTGTAGCTGGGCACCCCGTTGTATAGCTCAGATCGGGCCATTGACCAGTTGGGGAAATTGTGTTGATCCTACTCCGAGAAACCCAAACACGTCGCGAGCGCATGAGCGCTTTGTGGCGTCGGAGGAACAGACAGGAGAACCCCATTCGCTTGTGCGCACCATTTGCTTAAGGTAGGGTCTGCCCCGTTTGATGACAAGCTTGACACAGTGAGCGGGACTCTGCGGCTGTAGAGAATTGCCAAGTCGCCCGCATTGTCGGCCGCAACAGTAACGGAGAGAGCGGACAGGAGAAGTGCGGAGAGCTTCAGGTTCGACGACATTGTCGAGTGATAATAAAATGTAAATGAAGGAAGAGCAGAGACTGGATGAGGGAAACGGCGAAAACCGTTATAGAGTAAAGACTGTGGGCAGAGAAGGGAAGGGAAAGACCGAAGGCGTAGTAGCAAGGCTTTCGTAAAAGTAAAGGGAGAGGCCACAAGAAAACTTGTCTCTGCCTTTTGGTCTTATGTAGTCCAATCAAGCCACGCAGTCGTTACAATGTCCCGCGAGGACTGTATAATGTGTACCTAAGAAGCACCGATTAGCACAGGGTCACCCGGGAGAACCTATCCGTACCTCTCCGTTTCGGCGTCTATGGATCCGCCAAGTCAGGAACCCGTTCCCTTTCTCCGCAGTGGCTTGGCCAATGTCTAATCTTGTGCCACTGTGTTACCAGACTCCATTAGTGCAGCCAGCACCCATACAATCCGCACTACCGAGTAGCAACCGGACAATCAGACATGAGCGCTCTTGCAGGCTTCCTCAACTGAGTGTATCGGAGTAGTGGTGGAATACGTTGCCATGGACAGCTCATGTGTCTCAGAAACTCTCTGAAATACAGTCTCGAGAGAAAGTCAATCGCCTGATTTCTTAAACGTGCGAGACCTCTACTTGCGATGCAACGGCCAAGCAAAGTGCGGGGCGTTCTGTCACTCAGTCGGATAGTGCGCAAAGGAGAAGAACGACACGATTAGGACTTGGACCTACGCACGAAACTGTATCAGATCTCTACTATGAGTCTGACACCTTAAACACTCAGCCATCCTGTCCTTGAATAGCTTGTTTAAGGCATGCAAGCCGGGCAGATCATCTTTTGATATGACCACGTCGACGACACGCTATTTCATACATCAATGCAGGAGCTATCCAGATTTACATTTCAACCTTGATGTTGCTTGCGTTTAACTCTATATCTCTTCGTCCTCTTCTTTTTCTCCTTAACGTGCAACTCCGATCCAACCGAGTTCAAGCTCCGCTGATTGAAATCGACCTCGATACTTCTTCCAGCATCGCCTCCTTGTGGGAAACCCACAGTGATACTCCCCATTTGAGTCGCCTGACTAACTGTATCGCTTTCGTCCGGCTGCTCCCCGCTCAAGATCAACGGCGACGGCGTCCCAATCGTCAGCGTGACATTCCCCAGAGTTTGGGTGGGATCAGCCACCGCGCCGACTCCCGTTGCCAGGTCCAACAAGAGCGTCACGGGGTAGTTCGACGCCACCATAAACGTGCTGTTGTTCGCCCCATCTCCGATGCCGCTCAGCGCTTCCACAGGGATCGTAACGTTCCCCGCTCCCCAAAACACGGCCATCAATGTCTGACTCGCCACGTCGAGCACCGCAGAAGCACCCATGTCGTTCCTCAGCACGGTGACCGTTCGATTCTTCGCTCTTTCCTCGAACTCCGCGTGCGACTTTGTCCCTGGATAGACGCTGTACGAGATTGGGTCTTCCAGCGCGCTGGAATTGTGCTGGATCCAAGCCGAGAACATGTCGACCGTCGCGCTTCCGGCGCTGGACATCCCGATTTGACTCCAGTCTCCCGTCTGCGGACCCGTTTTTAAGGAGATTCCAGTGCATCCTCGCCCTGTCGGAGAGATGTCGAACGTATACCCGACACCACCGTACCACAACGACGTCGCTTCCGCATAGTCCCCACTCGCCGTCTCATTCGCGGCCAGTAAGCGACCATCGACGTAGATCCCCGTCGAATTGTGTCTCTTCTGATCCACGACCGTGTACACCGGTGCACCCGCGGCGGACTGCACGCCAGGCAGGAGGACGTGGTGCACTCCCTCTTCGAAGAAGAACCACGCTTTCTGGTAAGCGAGGACGTCGGCTTGGATGGGGTGTTGCCATTTCATAGCCGCTACTCCGATTTTGCCGTTACTCGCTCCCCCGACGAACGAATCCGTCCCGTTCCAAGAGGTCTGGTCGCATGTGAAAGCCGTGGCGTTGTACGCGGTGGTCGTACCGGGTATGAGGTTCCAGTCCCATACTCCTGCAACGTCTTCGTACTCCGTGCCGCTGATGTAGTTGAAAACCACCCCTTGGCCGAGGTTGAAACCTTTGGGATTCTAAAAGAGGAAATACCCATTGTATCAAATTCTCGCTCGAGGGTTTAGAATGGCTTAGATGCTCACCTGCCCATTCAGACACTCGGTATTCGTCGTCCTCGTCGAGACCATCTTCAACGACGAAACGTAGTTCGTTCCGCGGTGAACCTTTAGTGTACCTGCGATCTCAACAAAGCACTCAACTGCAAACAATTTAAAGATCCGTACCATATAATCGTTAGACCAAAACATCCGATTCCCAATCAAGTCGTTCGCGTTTGCGTTCGGCCACTTCTCGTTCTTGAGTAGACAGTTCATTGCGTGGGTGATGTTCGATTCTCCCCACATCTCCCCAAGATCTTGAACCAAGGACAAGTTGAGTTTGAGGTTTGCTGTTGCTCTTTTGAGGTCGAAAAAGGAGAACTATGAGAGGCTATAAGAGCAGAGGGGGGGAGTACTCAACTGATTATCTACCGTAGCCCAGCTGATCATCCTCCCGATAGTGTTCTAATTGATGACCCGTTTTAGCAAAGATTGTTGTGCTTCGCTCTTCCAAGTCTCTCAGCTTACCAGATCCCAATGAAGAACCGACGTTTCGTTATTCCCGTATATCATCCACTGGAACCCATCGACGTGTGTGCTGAAGGTCTCCTTAGTCACGTTCCCGCCCTCGTATTGCGTTCCAGCCGCGGGGAGTTCGAGGCTCAGGACTGATCCCGTACTACGTGCAGTTGAAAAAAAAAAGTCAGAAAAGTGAAATTCGCAGAAAAGAGTGTCACCATTCCGCTCACTAATCCTTTCCGTAATTCCCTACCGCCCAAAGAATGATATTATGAGACAAAACTCGGGAAACATACATTTTCTGGGCGTACCGTCGTATAATATCCCATTGTGTTGAGAGAAAGAGCCGTCCGGCTGGACACCATCGACCCTTACTCCGGTTTTGACGACCAGCTCGTTGTGGGCTCGGAGGTACGCGTTTGCGACTTGTTCCGCCCCACCGCCCATGCCACCAAAGTACTTGAGTAGACCATTCGAGACTCCGACGTAGGCAAGGTCGAGGGCGTTTGAGCCAGTTAGAATTCTACAGCGAGACAGGTGTTCATGAGGAACGACAGAATCGGAAGTGAAATGAGAGTGTAAAGATGGGTGGCACTCACCCAACACCGTTGATCGAGTCATTCGTGGGCACGTACGCCCGATCTCCAATCGTCACACAAGCGTTTCGCTGGTCCGCAGTCAACGTCGCGTTGTACAGGAGACACGTCTCTCCCGAGAGCTGAGGTATCGAAATGATGTTAGCGAACCAATTAGGGTTCCACATCCCTGGAGTGCTGCACGAGCAGTTCCCCTGGTCCGTTAGCCCTCCGCGGTCGAGGCACGTGGGCTCCGTGAAGTCGTTGGAGAACCACCAGTTCATGGCGGCGTCGAGGGACTGCTGGACCGTGCTGTTCCCGGAGAACTGCTTCGGTGGTTTTTGCGAGAGGGATGAGGTGTGCTGGATGAGGTCGGAGTATGCTGCGGCGATGGGACCTAGGGGAGAGAGTACGTTGGTGCTTAGTGAGTTTGTGCGGTGGTGTAAGATACGTACGAAGTCGAGTCCAATGCTGTTGAGCTGGCCAATTAGATCGTTGTGCGTCGCATCCGGAAGCGTAGTTGACGTCCGTGAACTGTCCACTCGCTTGTTCAGTCGATAGCCTATTAATAGCAAGGTCATATTCTCAGCCTTGGGAGCGCTGATGAACTCGGCTGGGTTCCTCACGAGTTCAGGATCGCGTTGGAGTTCTTCCCAGTCAAGGTGTTCACAATGTATTCAATCTTCTGGTCCCAAAGGGTTTGAAGATCATCCTTCCCGTTCCAAGCGCTTGTCGAGTTCGTCGAGTTGTCGTTCGCCGAGACTCCGCATGACGAGAGGAGTGTGGTGGCGAGGAGTGCAGCTCCTAGCGCTGACGCTGCACCTAGCAACTTCATGAAGGGTGGTTTCCGGAGAACGAGAGAGGGAGTTTGAAACGAAGGCTTCGGGAAGGAAACAAGAGGTTGGGAGTACTGGACGGCTTTCAAATGGTTTGGACGGTGGGGTGCGGTCGCCGCGTGGGTGTTGCCAAGCTTAGAACTCAGGTTCGGCTTGGACCTGCAAGACGCGGCGAGGTTGTTCAGCTGCGCAAATGGAGGTGCAATTGGCAGTGCAAGTATGACGGAGACTAGCTCTCAAGTATCGCTTGCGTCCTTCACGAAGTGTCGAAGTGCGGGTCGTCTCGAAGGCGAAAGGCGTATAATCGGCACATCCTTCACTCGTTCTGTAGGTTGGAAGTCCAGAATACTAACGAGAGATATGAGCGTGATTGGTCCGCAGATGTCCTTGGAACCAACGGATTGCCGGATTCAGAGATTCGACGAGACCTGTCGGCAGAGTAGGTGCGCCACCCGGCAGAGTAGCCTTTTTGGGAGGAATCTTGCACATCGAAACATAACTCGTCCTGTTGCAGGAGATGATTTGCACGCTTTAACTGGATCTGCGTGGTTTCCATGTGTCTTGACACTCGACAATTAAATGGGAGGTTGCTCTAATGGTCTAGTGGCCTCGTTGTTGCGGGGCGACGAATCGGGTGTTTGGACGGCGCAAAACGGGTTGTTCCGGATTCGTTAGGCGGCACCCAAAAGCATTGTACGTTTAGGAGAGTTTTCGAACAACATCGAGAGCATCGACGAAATGGTTTTTGTCGACGTTTGAGACAGATTCTGTGTTCAGGGAGATGTAGTCGGAGGTCATGGACGGATCGCCGCAAGTCGGTAACCGGAGTTGACCGAGTCCGGAGTGCCAAAGCACCTGCCACTTCATCCTCCCCCCTCCCCTCTCCTCCCGTGGCTCCGCTCCTCCTCCTCGCACCTTAACCTCATCTCTACCTCCCGCCCCCTCACCGCCAGTTCACCATGAGCACAACGATGCCAGCACCACCAAAACCATGGGAGCGCTCAGCCGCTCTCACTTCATCAATGACCCAGTCCGCGATGCAATCAACAACGGCACCGCCAGTGACTTCCGCACCGACGACCACCACCCTTTCCGCCGACACCCCAGCGGTACCACAACGACCCGCATCGCTATCAGCAACTACGACTGCAGTAGCGCCTATCACACCCTCGCCTTACTCCTCGATGGCATCCTCCTACACGTCGCCGTATTCAACCTATGGAGCGGGTTCCTCCTACCTCTCACCTTACAACCGGATGGGTGGATACGGCAATTACGGCAGCTACGGGGGATATGGAAGCTATGGAGGATACGGAGGAGGATACGGTATGAGCGGATATGGTATGGGTGGGATGGGCGGAATGGGTGTCCAGATAGATCCGGCAACGGGCCAGCCCGTACCCTCACTCATGCAACAAGCCGAATCGAGCACCGGCCAAACCTTCGCCCTCATCCAATCCATCGTCGGCACCTTCACGGGCTTCGCGCAAATGCTCGAAAGCACCTTCATGGCCACCCATTCCTCGTTCTTCGCCATGCTCGGAGTCGCCGAGCAGTTCGGGCAACTCAAGGTCGCATTGGGCCAGGTCTTCGGCCTGTTCGGCTTCGTCGGATGGCTGAGAGGGTGGTTGAGAGGAGACCGAGCCGGGTTGAAGAGGGATTTCAAGAAGTTCTTGAAGGGAGAGGACGTCCCCGGACAGGCTCCAAGACCAAGTCGCAAGCCACTGGTCATCTTCCTCCTC